TTAATCTCTCTCTGAACCCTCTTGGCTTCCCCTGGGAGAGTGAGAAGGGACTTTGGGGCTGGAAAATGGGAACGGGAACACAGCCTCAGCTCGGCGGTTGAGCAGCTAGATGACCTTGGGCAGATGATTTTGCCTCTCTGAGCCTGTACCCTCCTCTAGAAGGGAAGTCATATTCTCCACATCACAGGGTTTTAGAGCGTCATAATGCGTGTGCACAGTTCTGACATCGAGCAAACCCTGCCAGGACTGACGGTATTTGCATCATCTTTACCTGGTTCTGAATTGCCCACCAACACAAATTCAAAGGTGATCTCTCCCGCTAGGTGCTGAGTTCTTCACAAGAACGTATGCTCTGTTCATCACCACATCCCTAGCATTGCTACAGCTACTGGGAAGCATCAGGTGAGAAATGGGCTTTAGCTGTTGATTCACTAGCTTGTGGGTGACTGGTTTAGAGATACAGTCATATGAAGTCAGACAGCATGTGTGTGTGTGTGTGTGTGTGTGTGTGTGTGTGTGTGTGTGTGTGTGAAGGCCTATCAAGTTACCCTTGGGGTAGACACCTGCAGGAAGGGAAGAAAGCAGACAGAAGAGGGATATCTAGGAAAAGTAGACAAAAAGGGCCCGATGGGAGCATGGGAGGAGAACAGGAGGCCAGAGTGGCTGCACCACAGGGCGAGGAGAACACAGTAGTTACCAAGATCTGCAGTGTAGGAGTCAGATCACCAAAGGCCTTAAAGGTCACAGTAAAATGTCCGGTTTTTATTTGGAGCAGAAAGAAAACACTACAGGTCCTTCATATGCTCCACTTTCCATCTTAAAAGGGTCAACCAATTACTGTGCTTAGAAGGCTCGAGAAGGAGGCACTAGTGGAAACTGGGACCATCTAGGCCCATTGCTATAATGCAGGTAAGAAGCAGTCATGGCGTGGGTGGCAGGAGAGACTAGAACGGAAGCAGTCCAATAGGCTAGATTACAGAGGCAGTGCCAAGGGGGCCTTGCTGATGGATTAACTGTGCACATGTGAGAAAGAAAACAGGGGGTCTGGGAAGTGTGTGGAGAATTACACATGCCAGCATAACCGGTCCTTGGGGTGCCCAGATTATTCTGTGAAAAACACTTCTAGTTGTGTGTGCAGTAGTGTTTCTGGACAAGGACAAGGTCAACAGTCAGAGCCAAGATGCCAGCTAGGTGGGCATCATCCAATCCCAGCGGAATCTAAACAGAGCAACAACAACGAGGCTGAGTGACAGCTCACTCCCCCTGCCTGCTGTCTTCCAGCTGAGACACAGGTCTCCTGCTTAGGGACTTTGACTCCAAACAGTGAAGTCTGGGTCTCCACCCTGCTGACTGCAGCGCCTGGCACAACACTTTCAGTCCCCATCGGTTCCTTATGATAATTCTGTCTCTAGGTCTGTCTCCCCATCTCCGTCTCTGGATAGACGTCTGGAGGGTAGGTAGGCAGACACACAGATCCACAGATCATTGGTTTTGTTTCTCTAGAGAACTCAGGAGACACATGGGGTCAGAAGTTCAGGATCAGTCATGTTCAGTGTGAGAAAGAGGCAGTAAGGAGGCCTTGGCTGAATAGACCAGCTACCTGAGTTGACCTGCATACACCGCCTCCGTCTCTTGACTCATTTGAATACGGTTTTCTCCTCTGTGCAGTCCCCAGACCTAACCCTTAGTCTCCTCTCTTCTCTTTACAACAGCTCAAGCCTCCAGCTTTGTGCCCTTCTCGAAGAGCTGTACTGTTTGGGAAAGGTCACATAACCTTGCCCAAGTCCCCTTCCCTCCACCTCTATGGTTCTCTGATATAAGGGAGTCCCCCACTTACAATAGCAAAGACTCTGAGCAGAGGGACCCCACTCGCTCATGCTAGCAAGGACGAACTGGCTTGGGAGAGCCGGTTTGAAATCCCTTTCACCTTTACACATCTTCTGTTCTGCTTGCTCTGGGTTTCCCAGCTACTACCCTAACACTGCCCGGAACACTTCACACTGCCACAGGCAGAATGGAGCAGCCACACCCAGACAGGCCCAGGGTCCGACTAGCTCTTGATTGGAAGCTACTTTCTCACTCTGAGTCTCATTCATGCTAGTCATAATAATGGACTCTGTGCATTACTGACCCGCGTGGTAGCTGAGGATATGACATTCTAGGAGGCACTGATGGAGCGTAATGAATCATATTAAAGAGGTTTTTCCTCACTCTCTGGGCTGCTCCTGCTAGCCTCTTTCAGAGATTGTTTTGCTCCCTGTGCTCTTTCTGTCCTTCAGAAGCCACGTTTTCTGTGGACGTCGGCAACGAATGGTTGTCAAGGGCTGGGCTTTTAGAAACGCTGTCTGTTGCCTTGGAAACGCCTTCTGGCTGGGTTTCCTGGCCTCCCAGCAGTCGGTAGGTTCTGGCACCACCTGCTGGATGAAGGGCCGCACTGCTTCTGAAGCACCCAGACTGGACGCCCCATCTCGGAGCCGAGATTCTGCGCCATCACCCCTCCACAGAAAAGTTCTTTACTCCTTAAACCCTCAGGTTTCTCCCGGGGACCAGAGGCTTTCAACTTGGCCTCCGTGGATTACAGGGAGAGTGGGAAGCCATGTCTTTCCTTACAGCGAGAGGAAGAGGACCCTCGGAGTGGGGTCTGGAGGAAGTCCCTCCCCTTAATTGATTTTCTGTAGTGCGGAATCCGCAGTGCAGACTTGAATTTGGCTTTTCACTAGCCTGCGTTTGCCAGGAGGGTGCAGCCAGGATGAAGATGCTAGGGATGGAGATGGGAGACTGAGGCTTGGGGTCATAGCAAGGTCCTTATGTACATCCCCTTCTTCCTGTCTTCCTTCCAAGTCATTCCGGTCCTGGTAACGTACTACTGACTTCCTTCTCCTCTTTTTCCAAGACCGTTGCCAGACCAACTGCTGGAGCTCAGTTCATTCACCCCTAAGAGAAAGCAGCAGACACCTGCTGGGGAAACATGGTCCCAGCTGATCCGTGCCTGAGGAAGCCCTACCCCTCTCCCCGCCCTGAGATAAAACTGCATGAAAGGTACAGGACAAAAGAGTGGGTTATCTGAGATCCAGAGGCAAGAGACAGGAAGCTGTTGTGCTTGTGATGAAGGTGCTTCTCTTTTCCTGTCATCCACCAGGAAGGAAACTGAGGTCTGAAGTGAGGGAGAATCTGGCTTCTTCTCTCTGTCCCCGCACAACACTGGACTTTCCATCAGATACCCCTGCCCACGTCTAACTGGGCTGGGAGCAACAGTGGCAGACAGGGACTCAGAAGCTAAAAGGACAGAGCAGAAGACCAGGGACCAAGGCATCCCCATCTTCCATCCTAGCTGAGCTAGAAGAAAGGTAAGCGTAGGATTCCTCACACCTCAGGTGAGGGACCTGCTGATACAACAGCTGTGTGCTCGGGTGCTTCTAGCCCACTACTCTACGTTCTGACCACACTCTGCCATCAAACTCCCCCAGATAGAGGCCAAAAGGGTCGCTGTGGGCGCGGAGAGGTAAGGAGGATTGGTCTTTCAATGCCCTAAGTCCTGTCTATGCAAAGCTAGGCTCAGATTCTAGGCCTCACAAGACAAAGGGGAATTTGGAAAAGCAAAGACTCAGTCTAAGGGTAGAGATAGGAGCTGTCCCTACACCTCTATGGCTGAGCACCGCTTCCTCTTTGGAAGCCCTTCCCAGATGAGAGGAGAGGGTTGGGAGAGGGACTGGGGCAAGCTGATTATCCACAACAGAGTCGCTGCCCCTCCTTCCCTCTGGGCTGGGCTGTCTACTCCCTGGCTGCCACTGGGTCCATATAGTTGAGATGACCCTTAGGAGAGAGCTGGTGGTGGTCTCTCCTGAACTCCAGGCCCGTGCCATTTGAAATCTTCATTCTCAGCTCTCCACAGGGCACCAGAGGCAAGGAATGCTCCATACACCTCCTCCATCTGTCCCCACAGCACACCAGAGATGGCCGAGTGCTCCTGCCTGAGATGGGAGCGATGTGAGTTTTCTGTTGCTCCACTCACCCCCTGCTGGACACCGGGCCTCCCAGAGTCCCTGGCACTGCCCCTACTCATCTTCCTACCCTTGCCGGGGATGAGGCCAGCAGCCAAGGCCAAGTACCTGCAGGTCTACCTGGCCTGTATTTTCCATGCCCACACTGGAACCTAGTTCAGATTGCTCCAAGATTGGTGTTGCTGTGGGAACCAGGGGCACTGGCCGGCTGCCCACTAGCGATATGTGATCTCCGAGTGGCTACACCTTCGCACCAATACTGTTGCCCACAAAAACGAGGGCCTGAGGTGCTAGAGCAGCCCAGCCTAGTCTCTGGTAAGCCATGCTGCTGATAGTATAGTAAGGTACCCGAGGCCACATGGCACCTGCTCCATGCCAGCAAGGCTGAACTCCTGATATGCGCCGAGTTGCTGACCCTGCACTGTTCCCAGCTGCTTCTGCATATCTGCTTGCTATGACCTTCCTTCTAGAGCATCTGGTCCACTTGAGTACTGACCACAGTGGCTGAATTTGCAGCCAGAGTGAGCATGTTGCTGGGTTATCTCCCAGCCCCTAGTCACTCTGTCACATGATTCTTTGGTCATGAGCCCATGGGAGAAGTGCTGAGTTATCTGAAATTGCTTCCTACACCGCTTGCTTTGGAGTCTCCGATATCATGCTATTGGAAGCACAGTTTCCCTCTACAACAGTGATTCTATGTATCAGGAGCTGGGAGCTCAATGTCTCACTCAGTGATGCTGAGCTTCTGGGGTCAAGACCTGGAGTAATGGAATAGCTCAGCTGGGCTCCCTGGAATAGTCTGGAACATACCTACTGTGATGCTCAATCTATGTGAAAAGATCTAGAATCACTTGGGAGATGGGCCTTGGCACATGTCTCGGGGGGTCATCTTAAGTTCATTGAGGTGAGAAGACCTGACCATTGTGAGTAGTGCCATTCCATAGGCTTGCGGTCCACTCATCACTCGCCTCTCTCTTCCTTATTACCCAAGGCTTCAAGACTCTGCTGCTTTTGACTTCCCCACCATGATGGACTGTACGCCAAAATAAACCCTTTCTTCCTTGAGTTGAGAATATTTCATCACAGCAAGGAGAAAAGAAACGAAGACACTTCCTGAGTCAGAACTTCCTCTCAAAAGGTCAGCCAATGCTAATAAAACTCCAGACCACTGAGGCTCACCAGCTTGCAAAGTAACCTGTTCTAATGTCAGCTCTGTTGGCCAATGAGGTCTAATTCAAAGGGAGACTCCCTTTGATCCACACACCAGCTTGATTCAGAATGAGCTGGTTTGATATCTAAAAGGCTGGACCTCTATCTCACCTCAATGGATGGGTCATGCCGCTCCTGAAGGGTACCCTCCTTTAATCCATCCTTTATTTTTTTTACCACCTGTGGGATCCAAGCATCCGCCTACCAGCTGGGTTACCGTTGACTGTTAGGTGCCCACAGGGCCACAGGCTCCAGGGCACAAGGCTTCCGGGGACTCTCTGGACAGTTCCTGCTGCAGCCCTGAAGGTGCCTCAAAGCTGGAAGACACTGGTGCAGACTCAACAGATCAGGTCCATAGCCAAAAGGCTTACTGTGAGTGGGGCCTGGGTGAGAGCTGCCATGTTCAAGGTATGTTAACTGGGCCCTATGAAACCCCACCTTGGTAGTCACCGGAAATTTCTGGATCATTGTCACAAACCACAATCTTTCCTACCCTCTGATCTTCCCTGCCACTGGGACCTTTCCAGACCAGCCTCCTCTCTGTCCATCTGAGCGGTGGCTATGCCAAGGTAGGACAGCTTTGCAACCGCTGCCAACTTCTGCTAGCAGTATGGCAAAGTAATGTGAACATCTCAAGACCCCTCAATTCTAGAGACCTGGTCTCCCACCTAGGTCATCCGAGCAAGCTGCACTCTCCTGCGAGAACATCCAGACATGTTTTCTAGAGGGTGTTCAGAAGCCTTTGGAGATCAACGTCTGTTCCGCAGGGAGACGGAGGCTGCAAGCCGTCTTGAATTATGGTAGCTCACCCATCTGCTTTGTTCCACCTCCATACTGTACCCCCACCTGTTCGAGGTGGCAGTAGGAGCTACGATGAACCTTTCTGTGATATTTCCCAGTTGCAGGAGCTTGCTCTGGACGGCTGCCTCGGGCCTGGGAGACTTCCTATCATATGGCCCACCCACATCAGGACACCTCAAGTGTCGTATTCCTTTCTCATCTTCCTGTAGAGGCCAGGCTCTGATGGGACTCCCAGTTACTACAGAATAAGGGCCAGCCACCCCATGGTCAAAAGACAGAAACAGGATGACGGAGGCATGGATAACTGTTTGATGTATTTGGATTATTTAATATACAATGATGCAATTGTGACCCCAAAGTGTGCAAAGTTAAAGCCTTCAACTGCAGCTGAGAGGAGAGGGCGGGAACGGTACACCTGGGGACTATGGTGGGTCAGGAGTGAAGGGCAGGTGGCTATCATCAGGCTCTCCCCAGGTTCAGAGATGGGGTGGGTAGTGGGCTGAGAAGTAGGGCCCATGGGAGCCTCAAGCCAGAGGAAGGGGGCAGAGACCTCCCCCTGGCCTAGGTCCAGAACCCAAAGTGCCACATGGCTGAGGACAGCAGTCCAGGGGTGGGCCAGAGGCAGGGTCAGGAGAGCACCATTTCCTGGGGGTGGGGAGGAGTACAGCGAGAGAGGTGCCCTAGAGGAGAAACCAGGAGGAACCACCTTCCCCAGGGGTCAGAGTTGGACATTAGGCCAGAGCAGACTGCAGCAAGAAAGACCTGAGGCAGGCACAGGGCCTGAGAGCCAAGGCTGGCTGGGCTCAAGGGGCTAAAGAAGGGGTCGCCCAGAGGATCTCATGGGGCAGCCTGGCACAGGGAGCTACCTGACTCTGTGGGGTTGCCCAGAGAGGGGCCACAGTCCCCTCAGGGACTCCACTCCTCTCCCTGGAAAGGAGCCGGGGAACCCGTAGTGCAAATCCGTGGACCACTCAGTTATGAAGGGAGGCTGTTCCGGGAGTGGGGCCCTGGGGTTCGCTCCCTCCACCGCCTTGGCCTCCACTGCTGTCCTCAGTACAGCCGCTTCTCGTAACTGTGAAGGCAAAGCAAGCGGGAACTAAGAGAAGGTGTGACGTCCTACTCCCTTCCCAGAGTCCTCTTGCCCAAGATTTGGGAGAGGGCAAGGGGCTATAGGGCTCGCCTCTCAGCCAGGGGGCCAGAAGAGGCAGAGGTGGACCTGGACCTCTGTCTTCCTTTGGCCAGGGCTCCGTGAAAAACCATGCCAGTCCCGGAGAAAGCTACGCTCCTTCCAGCCACTGCCACACCTGAGTGGACTGCCCTAGGTGCCCAGGAGGAAGAGGCAGCTCGGGAAAGCAAAGTCGTCCCCATGGAGCAGATTTCAACTAGCTCAGTCACCAGTGCCCTGTTTCCGCTGTGCCCCTCATGAATGGTGACTCGGGCCTCTCATTATGGGGTAGCCCCAGGCCTGTAGTCATAGGTACCTCTTGGTACCTCGAAATGAGATTTGGTTGGATGAGGGGCAGTGACCTCCTCCACCATCTGGAAATTAGGACCAGAAGGGTCCAATTGGGTCTATGCCCCATGATTACACTCCAGCACTACCTCCCACCCGATTCCCATTCTCCCAGTCCATGGCCCACCCAGACTGCCCCTGCTCTATTCTACGCCTGGCCCCGGCAGCGCAGTTACTTACACGGCAGAAAGGTATAGCTATGGGAGGGTAGGGCAGAAAGAGAGACAAGTTAGATGCCCGCCTACGCTTAGGGAGATGCGTCCTCTTGACCAGGGCGGGCTGCATGCCTACAACTCTACTGCTGCCAACTAGCTCGGCCCCCAACCCACAGTCACACCAGCACTGGGCCTGGCATCTGTCTCTCTGCCCATCTCCCCACCAGAGGGCTCATGCCCCCATTTTCTGCCTGCCTGCCTGCCTGCCTGCCTGCCTGGGGCCGCCACCAGCAAGAGCCCAGCACTACCAGTCCCGGCTACCAGCCACCAAGCTTCCTGAGCAAGCAAGATCTAAGGAGCCTGGGCAGGGCTAGCAGTCAGCCTGAATAAGGGCTCCATGACAAGGTTCCAGGGTGAACTGGGCCCTGCAGACAGGGTGACAGAAAGATCATGTGTCCCCTGGAACCTTGGAGCTTTGAACCTGCCCGACCCAGCACCAGCAGAGGCGACCGACTTACGAGTGTAGGCCGTGCACGCCACCCTCTATCTGGGCCGACACGGTCCGCTTCTCAAACTTGAGCTCTCCTGAGTACATCATGGATCTGGGAGGTAGGCAGACGAACAGGTCAGGAGTATCCCAGAAAGAAAAGAGGAGGAACGAGGGAAATCTCCCAAGTCCCTCTACTGCCCCCTCAAGTTACAACACTCACCGCAAGACAGACAGGCTTTGGGCCCCAATATCCTGGCAGCCGTGCTGGATCCCCGCTATGAGGTAGGGCACAAACTTCTGAATGGAGCCTTTATCCTGGATGGAGCCCGAGACACCCTGTGCAATCTTCACCTTATCCCCCTCACTGCAAGGAGGGTGGGGAGGCTGAGCCCAGCAGCCCAAGGCTCAGAGGACCCCACCCTACCTCTCCAGGGTACCACCCAGGAGGATCCCCCACAGCGGTCACAGCCACATACTAGGCAACAGCAGAGACAATGTGGCCTCCAGGCCAAGTACCCCAGGCTCTGGTCAGGTCAGGCTGCATCTGCCACTTACGCATGTGTGTAAGCTGCTAAAACCGGGGATCCTGGGGTAGCTGCCATCTGCAGTCAAGGGCATGCAGGAGCTCAAAGGCACGGAAACAAACCTGAAGTATCGTTTCTGGCTGCTGCTGCACTTTTCCATGGCGTCCAGGGAACCCATGCCCCGGTACTTCTTAAGCCTCACTCCATCTGAGAAGAAGTATTCGCCAGGGGCCTCCGTGGTGGCGGCCAGCAGGGAGCCCATCATCACTACAGAGATGGGGTTGAGAGATGCATGCCTCCCCGGCTCCACAGGATTCCAGCTGTCCCACTGGCTTCCAGCCCCACCCGCCCAATCCTAGGTGTCCCCCTCACCTGTGGAGGCTCCGAGTGCCAGGGCCTTGACCACGTGGCCCACGGTCTGGATGCCACCATCAGCTATTACCGGCACCCCAAAGCGCCGGGCATACTCAGCCACCTTGTAGACAGCAGTGCCCTGGGGTCGGCCGCAGGCCATCACTGGGGAAAGTGGGATGCACAGAACAGACATGAGTCAGCGGTCCTTCTCCTTGTGTCTGTTACCGCTAACGGAGAAGGGATGGGGAGAGATGGTGCTTCTGGGGCCTAAGGCAGGACTGAACAGTAACTTCGGGGGAAATGTCATTCTAGGTGCCTAAGCCACCTGCCAACAGTATCACAGGGGATCAGTGCCAGCCTATCGGTGGCCTCCAGCATCAGGTGCTGGGAGGGTACAACCCCCGTGAAGGAGTCATCCACCCCAGCAGCTGATACCAGAGCTGGGTTCTTTTTTTTTAAAATATTCATTTATTATGTATACAATATTCTGTCTGCGTGTATGCCTTCAGACCAGAAGAGGGTACCAGACCATGGTTGTGAGCCGCCATGTGGTTATGGGATTTGAACTCACGACCTTCGGAAGAGCAGGCAATGCTCTTAACCGCTGAGCCATCTCTCCAGCCCCCCAGAGCTGTGTTCTTATGCCTCCTTTGGTTTTGCTCTCCTATTTCTTCCCCCCTCCCTCCCTCCCTCCCTCCCCCTCCTCCTTTGAGGTTCCACTTGACTGCTACACATGACAGTGTGGGTTTCTAATTGCCCTGGATGTTCAGAGACACGTTTTCTTCATACCTAAGGCATGATTTGGTCATAAATGCAATCCAAGCTCTCAGCTGTCTTCCAACACACACCTTACAGAAAAGTGTCACACCGACCTTGGACCCTCACCCCCACCCCCAGACACAATCTCCACAATCAGGTCTGGAAAGCAGGTTGGTCCACTCCCAAAACCCACATGCCCTGTCTACACCACCTGCCTCTTTCCACAACTACCCCAAGACAGGTAAAGCAGGTCATCCTGAACCGACCTCCTGAGAAAGGCCTACTGGGGCAGGTATTCATGTATCTACAGAGCAAACGTGAGGTGTGGGGCCATCATGGACAAGGGGGGTTCTAAATGGCAGGCCTTCCTTCTGCCCCTATGGGTACCTACCTTCCTGGGTGATGCAGATAGAGCCACAGCCCATGCCCACACGAAGCCCATCCACACCAGCATCAATCAAGTTCTTGGCCTGGGCTGCTGTCACCACTGGGGACGGAAGAATCAGAAAGAGGAATGTGAGGCTGGTGTCCCCACCCTGCCCAGGAGCGTCCTAGGATACCCCTCTACCTCCCACAACCTAAAGTGCTGGGCCAGGCCCATCCTACCCTCAACCCCTTTGCCTGGAACAACGTCGCTGCCCAGGAGTTCTGAAGAACGGAGAGGAGTTACCCTGCACTCACCATTCCCCCCAATCACCTGGAGGTGGGGGTACTTCTGCTTGATATAGTGCACCATGGCAATCTGGTACACTGAGTTCCCCTGGGATGAATCCTGTAAACAGGGACAGAAGAGCTCAAGTTAGACAGCCAAGTCCCCTCACTGCAGGAGGCTAACCCGCTGCAATCAGAGGAATCAGGAACCAAAGTCGTCCTTCTGTTTTCTGGAGAGTTACTTGACAACTCTTAGTGGAGTCCCTCAGAAGGGCCTGCTTCGCCTGTCATGAAGTTTAACCAGCGCCCTCCATTGGCTCACAGGTGCAGCCCATTCCCGCCTCCTGCGCAAGTCCGTTCCCACAGCAAACAGATATCGGTAGCCAAGTGACATCACTGAACTCCTCTGAGCCTCAGTTTTGTCATCTATGCCGGGGAACGGCAGTTGTAACCTCAAAGAGTGGCTGCAAAATTAAACAAGTGAGCGTAGTTCCGCTCAGGGCCTGCAAGCGGGGACTTCTCAGCGAATGTGGCTTGTAATTATATAAGGTAAATAAACTTTTTTTTTTGTGAGAAAAGCCCTTGGAGGGAGAGCACAGTTTGTTCTGGGCTCTACAATTAGTCTAATTCTGACACCAGGGAAGCAGAGAGAAAGAAAAGTAAGTGTGTGTGTGTGTGTGTGTGTGTGTGTGTGTGTGTGTGTGTGTGTAGGGGGTGCTCAATAGCGGTGCATAGGACTCACAAGCCTGATACAGAGGAGCCCACCACCTCCGTACCAGTACAATGACGTCAGCGCCAGCCTGAGTGAGCAGGTCCAGGCGGTATTTGTCATCTTCGCGGGTGCCCAC